TAAACATTGGTTTAACTGCAGAACATTGTCTGAGGGACTGTGTGAGATACCATGATTTACTGAGTGTCACACATTACAGTGTACCATTTGGTAGCTGTTCACTCAGGTGCCACCTGTTAGCTTGTGTAATGAAGCTACCTGCCATGTTCAGCATATGGATCAGAGAGGATGCTCTAAAGCTTTGTCATATCAGCTTATGTCAGATGCTATGTGAAATATAGTCCAGCATGTGACATTAAAGAGAGAAAATACTTGTGTGAAAGCGGTTCTTGAAGATTAGAACAGAGTACAGCTAAGTACATATATTTAGTTGTTAACATCTTTCATACAGTAATTATTTTAAAAATGGGGTAGTGTGAAAAAGTAGGAAGGCTGTTATAGTTAAAGTCCTATTTAGTAGCACTTTTCCTTTCTGCCTGTCAAACTGTAGCATTCCATTAGTACTCTAACTAGAATGCTTCTCCTTCAAAACATAACACTTAGTTTGTGATGTTATTGTGTATTTTAAATATGTATATGAGTGCAGGCCAACCTACTTTTCTTCATCATTTGTGGGATAGCAGCTTGTGTGCTTCAACAATCAACCAAATAAAAGGAGTCAGAAGTTGTTTTCAGTAGTATAGAACTAGTTTGTACAGATGTATGTACAGATCTCTCCTAAGCATTGGCTCCTGGCTCTTGCCTAGGCTCAGGCTGACCATATTTGGTCTGAGAAGCAATCAACAAGTGGGTCCTTGTCTCCACTCTTGTTTAGGTTTGCCTTGCTATCCTGAGTCCTGCCTGCTGCTCTGCCTTACATCCTTTCTTCACTGATTACATTTGCAGTTTTATTCACAGAGAAATGGGTCTCTGCAGTAGACCTGTGTGATCACCTACAGAAGTGGGAGAAACATTTCTTCTCTGTAGGACGTTTCTTCCATTAATTTACCTCAACAGTATAGCCCATTGCTCCCAGAGGTATAAAGCAGCAAACCCTTGAGGCAAGATCAGTCTCTTTCTCTCTTGCTTGCTTTATCTCTGCCCTCCTCTTTTTTAAAAAGTTGAATTGGAGCGGACCAAGTGGACTTGAAAGCAAGCAAGAGAGAGAGATCAAGAAAGATCTTAATGTCCCTGATAATCATAATGGGGTGGTCAGACATCCTGGAAGGTGAAGTCAAATGGGCCTTAGGAAGTCTTAACAACAACAAAGCTAGTGGAGGAGACAGTTTTCCAGCTGAACTATTCAAAAACTATTCAAAAAAGTTCTACGTTCAATATGCCAGCAAATTTGGAAAACTCAACAGTAGCCACAGGATTGGAAAAGGTCAGTTTACATTCCAGTTCCAATGAAGGGCAATGCCAAAGAATGGTCAAACTACTGCACCATTGCACTCATTTCACATGCTAGCAAAGTTATGCTCAAAATCCTGCAAGCTAGGGTTCAGCAGTATGTGGACCGAGAACTACCAGAAGTACAGGCAGGATTTCGAAGAGGGAGAGGAACCAGAGATCAAATTGCCAACATATGCTGGATCATGGGGAAAGCTAGGGAGTTCCAGAAAAACATCTACTTCATTGACCACACTAAAGCCTTTGATTGTGGAACACAACAAATTGTGGCAAGTTCTTAAAGAGATGAGAGTACCAGATCATCTTATTTGTATCTTGAGAAACCTGTATGTGGGTCAAGAAGCAACAGTGAGAACTGGACATGGAACTACTGACTGGTTCAAAATTGAGAAAGGAGTTTGGCAAGGCTGTATACTATCGCCCTGCCTATTTAACTTATACGCAGAGCATATCATGAGAAAGGTGGGGCTAGATGAATCACCAGTTGGAATTAAGATTGCTGGGAGAAATATCAACAACCTCAGATATGCAGATGATAACACTCTAATGGCAGAAAGTGAAGGGGAACTAAAGAGCCTCTTGATGCAGGTGAAAGAAGAAAGCGCAAAAGTTGGCTCGAAACTCAACATTAAGAAAATTAAGATCATGGCATTTGGTCCTCTCACTTCCTGGCAAAAAGATGGGGAAGAAATGGAAGTAGTGACAGATTTTATTTTCCTCAGCTCCAAGATCACTGCAGATGGTGACTGCAGCCAAAAATTAAAAGAAGCTTGCTCCTTGGGAGAAAAGTTATGGCAAATCTAGACAGCATACTAAAAAGCAGAGACATCACCCTGCTGACAAACAAAAGTGTGTATAGTCAAGGTTATGGTTTTCCCAGTTGCAATGTATGGCTGTGAAAGCTGGACCATAAGGAAGGGTGGGTGCCGAAGAATTGAGGCCTTTGAATTGTGGTGCTGGAGAAGACTCCTGTGAGTTCCTTGGACTGCAATGAGATCAAACCAGTCAGTCTTAGAGGAGATTAACCCTGAATGCTCTTTAGAAGGCCAGATACTAATGATGAAACTCAAATGCTTTGGCCACCTAATGAGAAGGAAGGACTCACTGGAGAAGAGCCTGATGCTGGGAACAATTGAGGGCAAAAGAAAAAGGGGACAGCAGAGGATGAGGTGGCTAGATGGAGTCACTGAAGCAGTCGGCGTGAGCTTAAGTGGACTCCGGGGGATGGTGGAGGACAGAAAGGCCTGGAGGAATGTTGTCCATGGGGTTGCAATGGGTCGGACATTACTCCGTGACTAACAACAATAGGAACAAGTGGACTTGTCCTCAGAAAGACATCGCAAACCTCTGTGGTAAACAGATATCACTGTAGTAGCATTACAAACCTTAAAAACATTGTGTCATCAGTAAAAAGAAAACAAACCCTGAATCCAGGGTGAAAAAAAAGAATGAAAATCCACAATTAGAAAGTAACTTTTTTATGATGACAGGTATCAGGATCTGGGGCATCAACTCAGCAGCACAGTTTTCTCTTTTTGCTGTTGCGCCTGTCCCTTGTCTGACCGGTACTCTGCCTCACTGTTTGCGTTCTTTTCTGCTATGTCCACTCATGCTGTGCATCCCACTGTGCCATGTATCCTCCCTGCCTTGTTGCCTTAGCAGTTCAGGTCCTCCTGCTAACTCTGGCTCAGCTCAGGACCAGGCGAAATGCCAAAAAAGTTTTTATCTGATCCTAATAAAAGTAGATGTGGAGTACATGTTACTAATAATAGTATTTGTAGTCTTTACATCTGATGTCCTTTATAAAGAGCTATGATATGTGTTCCCTTTATATTCTGCCATCTTAGAATCTGTAGCTAATAGTTAATGAATATTGCTCATGATAGACCTGTACTGATGGAATGTAATTTCTACCTCTGAATAACACAAACACCATAAAAAACTTATTTCTCTCTCTTTCATCTATGCAAAAAAAAAAAAAAAAAAAACCATTCAAAGAAATAGGAAAGACCTTTCTCTCCTTTCCCCAACTTGCCTTATTTAAAACTGTCCAAATCAACACACCAATGCAAAAGTTTTTGTATTTTGGTAGTTCAGTGTTTTATAAAAGAGCTTTTCAAAACAAAAACAAAACAGCTTTTATTTCTCCTTTTGATGTGTACATGTGGTTGGTACAGTTGTTTACACAGTACAATGAATATGGTTTTAATAAAAGAGTGACTAATGAACTATGGTAAACTTTTGGAAACTCAATGCTAGTTAAACTGTACAAATATCAACCTGTCTTTACAACAAGCCGTCTGTTGATTCATTTAAAAACAGTGACTGATCACAAATGTGTTAATGGTGAACAAAGAGTGGAATTCGAAGGGGCATGGGCATTTTCCTGATGTGCATCCAGGCTCAAGGCCTGTTTCTGAAAATTGCTGCATACATTCCTTATGGATTACTTTGAAACTTGAGGAAGGGCACTCTTGGTTATTCTGATTTTTCCAGAAAGATATCTGGATGAACATGCACAAAAGCACCCACTTGTGTCTAAGGAGCATTAAAGAACTTAGTCAAGGGAATTAGCACGAGGAAAAAATCATGTTAGGCATTCGAAAATGAAACATCAATTATATATACATAAATGTAGCGAAGTGAAAAGCTGTACATAATCTGGAAGTAATATTTTGTCTCCAGTTTTCACATGGACTAAGATACAGAGCACTTCATGGAACTTAGGAGAGAAGCAGCTGGATTTTGCATAAAACAGCTCCCCAGGAAATCCTTGACATGAATAGAGATGTAGATGGACTTGGTCATTGGAGCTGCAGGACATTTACAAAATGCGGTGGACTGCAGTTGTTCTCTCTCTTTCAGCATGAAGATCTCCACAAATCAGCCAGGGCTTTCCTTCAATTTCTTGCTCCAGTTGAGGCCAGCATTTATTTATTTATTTCACCTCTATACCACCCCATAGTTCAGTAGGCTCTCTGGGGTGTTTACATATTAAAAACATTTAAAGATGAAAAATAATCATATTTAAATAAAGAACAAACAATAAAACCAATCAGTAAAAAATCAACAACCCACAGCAATTATAATAAAGTTAATATATGGGACAGCATCCTTAAAAACACAATTAAAGAAAACCTTATCTATTACCATATCTGGAAAATAAAAAAAGTTTTCACCTGGCACTGAAAAGAGAACAAAGATGGTGCCAGGTGCACCTCCTTGGAAAGCATAATAGGGTGCTACCACTGAAAAGGTCCTTCTGCTAGTCATCATCCCCATAAGGTTCCCTGAGAAGGATGTTAGCAGATGATCCGAAGGGCTGGGTAAGAACATAGGGAACAAGATGTTCCTTCAGATAACCTGTCCCCAAGCCATTTAGGGCTTTTAATGTTAACCCCAGCACTCTGAATCGGGCCCAGACTTCAACTGACAATCAGTGAACTGATGTAATATGTTGGAGGTTTTGGACCATTTTCAAAGGCAGCCCCATGTAGACCACGTTACAGTAATCCAGGAGAGTGGTTACCAAAGCACAGATAACTGGCCAGATTCTGTCTGTTCACATAGGGTCATAGTTGGTAAATTAGCCTACACTGATAGAAGGTACTCCTATCCACTGTATGCATTTTTGACTCAAGCAACAATTCTAGGTCCAGGAACACCCTCAAATTCTGAACCTTGTCCTTTAGAGGGAGTGTGACCCTGTTCAGGACAGGTTGAACATTTCCCAAATGGACAGATGATTGACTCACCTACTTCCACCTTATCTGGATTGAGTCTCAGTTTATTGGCATTCATCCAGTCCATCCCTGAGTCCAGACAGTCACTGAACAGTCACTGCCTCACTTGGCTTCAATGAAAGGGAGAGGTAGAGCTGAATGTCATACTGGAGTTAGTAGTTCCAAGGACCAATGCTTCCGTTCACCCATTCAGGTTGGTAGTTTCCTTCCTGAAGAAGACTCAATGGCAATGTTACATTTAGATGATTTTAGAATTTCTAGATTTAATGGCCTTATGGGTTCTCTTCTGTAGATGGTAAATACTTCACTTATTTCAAAAGTTGCCAAGCCAGCCCTACTGCACCTGAGATCTTTCTGCACATACTGCTGAGTGGGACCCTAGACTTCTGCCCCAAAAGCCTAACTGGCTACCTTCCTTCTGGATTTTAGAAGAGCAATAATGGTGTCTTCATTCTACAGGTATCTCAGTGTGGCTAAAGGATACCAGATTCTCTTGAGATTATTAACACTGTAATTTTGAAGTGACTGTTTTTATAATTCTATTTCTCTTTTCTTGTAGAATCCATTGTGATACTGCCATTATTTTGTATATTCTGAAACAATTTGAGAGGTGCTTACAGAGTGGAATTTAAATGTAAAAACTAATAGACAGCCATATACCTTGATTTGGGGTTTTTGTGAGATACTGCATAGTAGGAACAAATTTTAGAATGCAATGGAGTATCATCATTTTGAGGGAGGAGTCCACCTTCTCACTCCACCCTTTTATACACTTTAAATACTTTGTTAAATCCTTTATAAGGGAGCTGACTTCATGATTTACTAGATTCTGTCAGTTTGAGTGACATGGCACAAATTGGATGCTTACATTGTTCTACTTGCAACTATATACAAGAACAGATGGGGCCCTATACACATTCCCTTAGCCATGTAGGACTTGCTTCATGTTAGCAGGTTTTACAAGGACAGGATAACATTCAATTTGTGTACCAGTTTCATCAGGGGCCAGTCATGCAGTTCTTTCCCACAATATCAGTGCTTCTTCCCTGCAGAGTACCAGTTTTATGTTTGGGACCCATGTGATCAACAACTGGTGGCCCCATTGCCAATACAGCAGTGTGTTGTCTCTGAGTTTCAGTTTGAACTTTTAAGTATCTATCCATAGTACTGAACTGTATCCCTAAAATAGGTTCAGCACCATGGGTAGATCCTTAAAAATTCAGACTAAAACCCAGAATACTTACACTGTGCCTCACCAACAGTGGAACCACCAGCCTCAATGGGATAGGCCCCTACCTCCAACCATTCTCCCCACCTTCAGAGACAACCAAAAACCATACAGCTAGGGTATTTCCGATAAAGCAATCATTTTACACCTAAGCAATAGGCAAATCCGGAAATAACCAGAATATGGTGGTAAGATTTGGGAGTTGCCATATTCTTTCAAGATAGAGTAATAAAGTACCTCTTTCATACTGGAAGGTCCCCTAGGCAAGTCCTTCTCAGATCAATTGAACTATTTATTTAATATTTTATTTACAATATTATTTCCTTAGCCAAAAAAGACTCCTGTATCTGCTTACAATTAGTCAGTAAATAACGAACCACAGGTGTACAATGTAGACAAGATATGACACAAAATAGAAAGGGGAGAGAAAAGTATGTCATTCCAGAGTATGACAGAGGAACTTTGATGAAGACTCAAAAATCATGAAATTGGTCAGACTGTAACCTTAGTAGAAGGTGTGAGGAGTGGTTGAGCTTCATAGCACTCTCTTCTCCAGTTCTCTTACTCAATGCCTAAATAAAGGATCTATGACCTTGAAAAGATTGCCCATGTGTTAACAAAGCTTCATCCAGCAAAAGAAATTGCTTGCCTCAATAAGTATGATCAAAGCAAAAGACACAAAGTGTGAGATAATGTTCATCTTCTTCTGAAACATCTTCCCATGGCTGTATGTATCACAGTTCAGTTGCAATATCCCTCACTTTATGTGACTGACAGCAAAGAAACCTGCATTTATGAGACCACTGGATAGTTTTGAACTTCTCTTGGAATTTCGTACTTGCTAGCATAAAAATGAATGGGTTTAGGCAACTGCTAATACTACAAATTATTTCTGTGAGCTTATAGATGGTGAATATCAGGCTTATATTTTCAGAGTTGAGTTGGTCATTCATTCTGTAAATTAGTGCTGCTGTAATCACAACATGGTAAGGAATAAATGCCACAGCAAAAACAATCATTGCTGCTGAAACCAAAATCAAGGGCTTAACAATTCTGTGTCTTCTCTGTTGGCGTGTTGTCATTTTTCGTAAGGCTTTCAGGGTCCATGTGTAGCATGTGAAGATGACTGTGATTGGAACGAGGAATCCAAACAAGACTCTGAAAATTGTGAAAGGCACCACGAAGTATAAGGGTTCTCCAAAATTATCCAGACAAGCAACTGCCTCCCTTTGTCTTTGAACCACAAATGTGTAGTAAAAATTGGGAACAGACTCTGTTAGGATAAAGAACCATATGACAACGGCACAAAACACAGCCTTGCTTTTATTCCACCATTTTAATGAACGGATAGGATGGACTGCACCTACGTACCGATCAAAGCTAATTAAAGTGAGGAAATAGATGCTTCCATAGATGTTGATGTCAAAAAATGTTCTTTTAAACTGGCAGAATACTTGAGTGGAGTATAGTGCCTGCTTATGTAGGTGGTAGTAGACTGAAAAGGGGACCAAGAGAATCCAAGTGAAGTCACACAGGGCCAAATTGAACAAAAATATAGTGCTACTGGTCCAGGATTTCACTGTGTATAAGTAGCAGAGTAGTGTGAATGCATTCCCCAGAATTCCTAACAGCAGAACTAAAAAGCACAGTATAATCACAACATAGCAATACCATTCCCATTTGCTGTAGGTGTTGCAGAAGAAAATAGCACAAGTAGTGTTTGATATCCTGCCCTGGACTTTGCCTGAAAGTGAAAGAAGTCAAGATGTTGCTTTCAAAACTTACAACAGTCTCAGTGAGCAAAGGGTTAATATGCAGGGTTAACTCCCTCAGCATCTACTCTGGTTGATCCTATAGCATAGGATCTGGCTAGGGTTCTTTGTTTATGATGGTGCTTTTAGTAATGCACAATACACCACTTGCCAAAACATTGAGAGGAATAATTAGTTTTACAGAAATCAGGGGAACTTGTGGCAGTCTAGCAGTTGTCAGACTAAATTTCTCCCATGCTACAGTTCCAACTTAACTTTCCTTCTCACATCAGCTTAAAGAAAAAGTCAGCCATAAATGACCAACACCTTGTGAATAATATCCTGCACAGCTTGTCCCTGAGTCTCTCAAGGAGATAGTTATAAATTGAATTTTCCAGGAAGTTCTAGTGTTCTATATCTAAGACCATTTTTAATATGGTAGTAATGTGTATATTGAGGATACTTTTAATTCCAGTGGCAAGTCTTTTTGCAATTAGAAAAGCATCTGTCTGTAATTGCTGGTCTTTAACTCTAGGTTGTTATAAAGACTGTCCTAATTACAGTCAAAAAATGTAAACAGAATGTAAAATTTAATTCATAACAGGATCTTAATATTTAAATACTTCCTAACAAAAAGGAAGTATTTCTTCAGAATTTCAGAACAATCCCACCAAAATATCTTAATGCTAATTTGACATTTTAAATAACCATCACTCATTAGACTACCAAACCAGACCTGAAAAGGAAAGGGCCCATCTTCATGCATCAAAAGTATACCTGAAGGGGTTAACTGGGACGATATAAACTAACACCATATTTGTGCTGCTGTTATACCTGCCATCCATACCACCTTCTGGCCATATGTTTGGCAAAGGTATGAAGCAGACCTACCTGTACATAGACATGCATGTCAGGTCCTGATTGGTCAGGATTTCAAGGCATAGAGAGAACTTACACAAATACACTGGAATGGAAGTACAACCATTCCACATGCTCACCCTATGCTATGCCAATGGGTTCATTGGTAGTGGAGGGCAGATTTTGCATTGGTCATCCATTATGTCTGTAGTCACATTAGGGTATGTCATGGATATATGATCCACTGATGCATGCTTTTAATGCACAAAGTGAGTCATGTAAGAGTTAGCTGTGTTTGGGTGAAGGCAATTTTGCATTGCCAAGTTCCATGACTGGCTTCCTAGATCCTCACAAATGGGATATCACTGAAATAGTTTGAACATTGGTTACATGTTTCAAGCCTGTTGGACCTACCTACTTCCTTCCTAGTTGAGTTCAGACTTGGGTAATGCAGGATTGAATCTCTTGCTAGCAGGAATAATTACCACCTGGTTTGAGCTCCCACCAAGAGTTGAGGTTCTGCTGAACTTTCTGCTGACACTTTTAGCTTTTGCTCGACTAGCTACCACCTCCACGTACTTCGTCCACAGATATCACATGCCAGTGCACCAGAGGAGCCAGCTCACCTCTGCAATATTGCCTTCTCCTCCTCCTCTAGCTCCTTCCTTGTGTGCACCATCCCCTTCTCTCTGATATGCTAGTCTCACAGACCCTGGCCAACTTGGCTCTTTACCATTTCTGTTAATCCTTTTCTGTCCAGTTGGTCTGAGCCTACCAGGGATTCTTGAATTCCATCCCCTTTCCACATGTCCTCATTCATGATAATCAGGATGACCTTTCAGATTACAACCCCAAGGATTTTTGACAACCTCCAGCTGTTCCCTTCTTTGTCATATCCTTAAAAATCCATACCTGACAGCCTACAGGGACTGACTATAAATGTATTTCACCCCACACACAAGAGAGATCTGTGATTTATATCACAGTTTTGGGTTTTGTTTCTGGGAAACTGTTGCTCTGATACAGGCCATCTAATTCTTTCTGCCCTTGGCCTTTTAGGGAGTCAGATTAGGACATGGGAGGTCTTGCTTCAAACCCTTAAGCAATCATGAGGTTCATTGGGTTCATTCTCATTCTGCGTAACCTACCTCAAAGGGTTGTTCTGAGGATAAGATGGGAAGAGGAGACCATGTGTGTAACTGCTAGCTTCTCAGATAAAGGCTGGGATAAAAATGTGATGTAAAAACAGTTCTTACCTGCCTCCATTGCTGTTTGCTGATCAAGAAGACTGGGGGACTCATTACACATTTAGTTGGGTTCCAGATGTTTTTATGTCTTCCAGTGTGCTCTAAAGCATTTTCTTTGGCCAAAACCACTAAATTACTAACATTACAACTAAATCTTTTATGATATTGTCTTCCAAGTGTCCTTCCCACAGAACCAATTCCTTAAGAATCAGGCCCTTTTCTTCTAGTCTGCTTGCCATGTGACTTGTGTTTCTTCATTTAGGTTTGCACTTTGGATTGATCAGTTAATGGGATATTTTAATTTAGCTTGGTTTTTAATTTTTTGTGTGTTTCACATATCCCATATTATGAGAGATTTTTCAAATAAGAGTTCACAGTTATAGTCTTTTGAGTTTTGGAATAATGATACATCACTAAAAATTGAAATTAAAAAAATTGACTGCTCTTCCAAGGCAGAGTTGCTCATATGACATTTAATTCTACAAATTAATGCTTTATTCTCTGGTTATTAATTGTGAACCAAATTTCTCTTTTTATGCACCATTAACACTTCAGTAAAGTATAACGAGCTATGTCAGGAGAAATGTAACATTTCACATTAATGTTTAATGCAGTCAAGGTAAAATGATTGTCAAGACTGGCATTTATTATAATTAAAGAACTACTTGAAAATATTTCCTGCACTAAAATTTATAATCCATCCTATGTATTCCATGATGATGCATAAGAAACTTCAGTTAGTTTGTACCTCTCTCTCTCTCTCTCTCTCCCTCTGTGTGTGTACTATATTCTATATTCTAATATCTCCTATATTCTATTTTCATGATCTTTCATTCAAAGACTTCAGCTGGGATAATTAGCATAAGCAAACCTTTTGGCTGTTGGACGGTATAACAATGAAATAAACAAATCGCTCCTATTTTCTTACCTTGTTTAAAAATTGTAGAATTCTCTGTAACACATGACTGTGAGTTCCAAACCATCATCTTAACCTTCTGTTAATCTTCTACCATGTCAAAAATATTTTCTGAGGTTTCAACAATAATCCGCTTAACACTGTGTGAAAAAGCGATGACAAAAACAGTGTGAGTGGAAAATCCAGTCCCACTTTTGGAGAACGTCCAGTCTCCTCCCTTTCACAGGGATGGGCTAAATGGCTTTTTCTGCTTCCATTCACGTTTGCAGTAAAAATGTGTGGGTGGTTTGCTTGTTTTTAATGATCTCAGAAACTGATGACCACCTATGCTTCAGCTGTCTTTCAGAAGATAAGTTGCATAACATACACACTGATCAGTCCAGTTTTTTGTATATGAAGATGGGGATTTTAAGACATTCTAGAAACCAAGTTGAACTTGCCCAAAAGTAGCTAGCTGTCTTTGTGTTCTAAATATTTTCTTTGCACAGAATGGCATAACTGACAGTCCTGATTCTAACTAGATTTGTTGGATTTGCACTGTAAGAAGGGTATGGCAGTCTTGGCAACTCCAAAGCCTTTCATCAGTTCCTACTGCCATAGAGCTGCTCTCCTTTGCCCAGGGGTTGGGGGGCAGATGGCAGCTCTCCACTGGTTGCTGACTTTTATTTTACAGCACAGGAACCAAGCTGTGGATGGCTTAGGTTTCTGCTTTGAGCTGTCTGTCTTTGTCTCTTCCTTGGGAATTGCTGTGTTTTTCTAGTTTCTCTTTCTTTCTCTTAGATTTTGCAAAGCATAGCAGTACCTTTCTTTTAAAAGCAAATATCTGGTTATATTTCACAAGCTATATCTGCTTTTTTCGGTAAGTGTTGGATACACATGAGCAGACTCTCAGCAATATATATACAAAGAATATGAGAGAAAGAAAGAGCTTTTCGAAATGGGAGCCGACAAACGCTAACCTGTTGAGTCAATTCCATATTGCATTGTTGCTGGAAATTACAATGACCTGTGACCTCCTGCACACATCACAGCATGACACTAGGCCAACATGGACATCCACTGTTTCCTCCCAAGATAAGGGGAACTAAATGCAGCCCTTTGAAGCTGGTGGGAAACAGAAGAATGTTGTTGCTTTTACAAATAGTTGACAGTCAGATCAATGAAAATGTGGAAGAAATTATTTCAGAAATTAAATAGTATTGCAAAATTCTATTCATTCTCGCTTATCAGACAATGTGCTATGCTTTCATCAGATAATTTCTTATTATTTCAATCTCTATGGTCTATTAAAATGGAAGCTTTTGGGTTTAATTTTGATCATGCCTGAATCTACACTTCTGTCATGCTTCCTCAAATCCCCAGCAAACAAACACATATTAAATAAATGGAGAATTCCTTTATTTCAGTAGGCTATAAACACCGAAACACCCCATGAGGATATACAGATTAGAGATCTCAGTGTGTCCAAACATGCAAAAGGAACTCAGATAATTCAAAGAGGAGCCATAAACAAGGTCTTAACATCCAGTACTTTAAAACTGCAGGGTCCAGAGGCACAGGATTCTAGACATGCATTAGCTCAGGTTTCTGGAATAGTCCAAATAAAGGAGTTTCTGGTATCAGCAATATTGCATCCACATATCTGTTTTGCTTCTGCACCTGCCTTTATGTGGGGATGGGACAACTGGAGTTCCTCACTTGTCAGTCTAGACCCATGAGAAAACTTCTCTTGGAACGTCTAATCCAGTACCATTTCTCTTGCCTTTTCTATCATCTCCGTTGCTTAGGGAACAGCCTTGGGCATGCCTTTTCCTTGGCTGAATCTTCCTCTTCCTTGATTATGAAACCAATTTCCCTAGGCTGCAGAGATGTTGGTGTTTTTTCCAGATTTGCTCTGGCTGTTGTTGAGAAGGACTAGCTGCCTCCCTCCGCTTGCAGTCTTCTGTGCAGGGATGCAGAGGTGAATTCTCTCCACGCTCATTTCCATACCTTGTACTAGCCCCTAAATCAGATTCCTCCTCTGAGGCCATGCCATCAGGGGAATGCATGACCATGTCCCTTCCTGAGGTAGGAGAATTAACTCTATACCACTTTCAACTGCAGGCTGCGTGTGCTATATTTTTGGCATGATGTCATACATCGATAAAAACTCACCACTCCCTACACCCTGAAGACTAGCGGAGCAGAGAAGGAGATGACTAGAGTCTTTTTTCCCTAGTATATGAGCTTTCTACTTACAGGAAAGGGTGTTGTTGTTGAAAATTCTCACATTTATAACAACAACAAGATATCTCAACCCGCTTTTGAACTGGTACAGCCCCACCCTTCAGCTTCAGGATTTCCCACATCTCCTTTTATTGTTGTTTTAATGGGCAACCTATTCCAACAATAGAAACAAGATTCTGTTATTAGGTTCAAATACTGCAAGTCATGCTTTGAATAATCTAAATTTCATTTTGATGTATTTGCATGAAAGGTAGCTTTAAATTTTCAGGCCCTCATAGCCACCCCCTCCCAAAAAAGGCCACCAGTGGAAACTAGTTTGTGTGAAAAACAACCCAGAATTTTCACTGTGAAATGATTATATGTTAGATCCTTGTTCCCCTGCATCCTGAAGCATTTCTCCTGGCACTTGGAGGTCATTTTCCTTATATGGTGCTTCATTAGGAAGAAGAGGTAAGAGAAATGTTGAGTGTTTAAATAGGGTCAGCACTCGGCCTATTTTGTTATGTTGCATCTAAGTAGGATGTCAGTGTAGTGTACGACTGCTATATCTGAAATCCAAGGGGCTAGATTTTACATCAGAACATCATGATAAAATTGTAATCACAAAGCTCTAAATTGATAAAGAACCTTTTAGCCTTTTTACAGAACAGAGATTAAAATATGGTGTAAATATCCAGTTATCGAGATTAATAATTGCACTGTTATCAAAGCAGCAAGCAGAGTACTTCCAGCAGGTGTAATTACTATTCTGCATGGTTGAGTTGCCATAATATAAGTTCTCTTCTTACAGTTCTCAGAAAATATAGTTGAGCTGATTCAAACAGATTCTCTGAGATGGAACATTTGTCTTGGGCTGTAATCTACTTACATGGAAGCAAACCTCAACATATTATGCTGTTCCTTAAAGGTATACCCTGATTACCAGTCTGCTTCAGAACCCAAGTCAAGGTATTTTCTTGGCTTTCACAACTAAAAGGCATAGAGTCAAGTCTCTAAATAGCGGTGCCAGCAGGGGTTGGGGAGAATTACATATCCAGATGAGTTGGACTTCAACTCCCATCAATCCAGTGCTAGTAGGGGATTTTGCGAGTGGAAGTCCAAGACAGCTAGCTGCCCACCCCTATTCAAAAAGTCTGTTTTCTCCCACAGGATCCTATCATTAGTTAAGATCAATTTTTGAGGCCCTTTCCCAGCTGAAGATTGTCTGTTGGTTCTGATAAAAAGATTCTAGTGATACCCCAAGTATGGAACTCCTTCCAGACCAATGCTTTCTAGTATCCTGATTACTCTCTGTAAAATGCTTGCCTGGCAAAATTCATGCTGTTCCCTCTTACAAGCTTCTAATTGCATTTAGCAGCTTTCATGGTTTTGGTTCTTCCCCAACATATTCTCGTACTGATTTTTAGTAGAGTATGTTTGCTTTATAGAGCAGAATCCAATGGGGCACTTTCATTTTTGCTGATTTACCTCAGCAATACCCACTGCTTGTGGAAGCAAGATTTAGCATTTGCTTGTTTCTGAAACAGGGCAGGTCAGTAGTTATTTATTTATTTGATTTATATCCCTCCCCTTAGACAAAAAGGCTCTATGAGCAGCTATTGTTCACTTAAGGAAGCTGCATTAACCTGGCTATATGGAGAATGAGCATTTCCACTCATTTCAGGATTTTCCTCTGGAAAGCACTAAATCTGTGTTAGCAGAGTCCCACTCATACAAGAGAATTAATGGGAGTGCTCCGCTAGATTCTGTCCTATGTTTATAGTTTTGCTTTTAATTTACTGTTAGCTGTCTTGGAACTTTTAACATTACGGCAGGAGATCCATTTAGAAAATCAATACATGCCTTCTCAGAAAATGTGTCTCTGGACCTGTTTTTTCATGAATGAGTGGGTGGAATTTCTCTCTACTGTTTTCCCAATGTGGATCTGGTTCAAATATGCCAGAGGATTAGCTGCTTCCAGTCCAGCAGAGCTCCTGCAGAAACTAACACTACTATAGAAATCCACATGACCACAGTGTGGTAACTTTCAGAGCTTTAGTCTGGGTAGGAGCATGTCCTTGTAAGGTAACTGGAATGGAGCAACAGAGACAGAAAATGAGTGGTTTTTAAAAGCATATCCAACAAAAGGCAAGTTATGGGTTAAGACTGTCCCAGAGAAGGGATAGAAGAGGAAGGAATAAAAAATGAGATGTGACTGGGTTCATACAGCATGAGAAGCCATTGTGGACAACTGGTTTGTTTGTCATTCGAATCTGGCCTGCATGCCACAACAATGGGCAACAAGCCATCCTGACATTCTGTGGCTTGTATCAGGAGTGGTTTGGACCCATGTGTCAGCCAGACCTGGGAGACCAATCCCATCATGTGTTGCAGACTAGTGAGCTGTTTGGCAGAGCTGCTCTTGCTTTGCTGCTCCTGGCAGTCTTGCCTATGTCAACCCCAATGACTGTCAGAGACAGCCCTTCCACCAATGCCTAAAGTGGAAGTTTCAACTGACCGTGATTGGTTTGCCTCCTTTTCCCCAGGATCAGAAATGTGCACAAATGCTTGCACAAGTGAGCTCTCTTGCCTTCTGGTCTGTTACCTTACCTTGTCAATTACTGTTGTCAAATGGTAAAAGAATAACAAGATGTGTCTGAATGTAGGCTACATTGTGAACAGTTAAGAGCTGTCAAGTCCCTAGCTGTCATTTGAAATGTGCCAGCAAATGGGGAACACCCCCCTCCAGTGATTCCAAAAATTGTGGGCTGTAGATTTTACCCCTAGCAATGCAATCCTTGGGGTTTTTAAGTAATGAATCAACACTTCTTAGTGTCTCACACCTTTGGAGTACTTCCCAAGCCTCCAGCCAGCCAAACAAGGAGACATCTTAAGGTTACTCTCTTTTCAGAACACTTACTTTGGCTCCCTGGAAGCTGTCAAAACATGCTAACAGAGCAGCTGGATGGGATGGAGCAATGAAGTCACATGGTGGGTGCCTCTTCACTCTTCCCCATTATGAAAACTCTAAGCGTATTTTATCATAAAGTGTCGTAGAAATGGGCGCATATTTTAAAATATGGAAATATATGTGGATTTCATGGCTAAGCAGTGAGAAGAAATATGTTGCATTTTTCCCTGTTAGCCAGGATGTTCCAGTTGACAGCTAGGCACTTGACAGCTGTAAGTTCTTTTCAATGTAGCTTATATGCAGCCTTATTTATTATTCTGTTACCATTTGACAGCTGTAGCTGAAAAGATAATAGTCCAAGCAAGACTGCATATATTAAAGCAGTGAAAGATCATGCTTTTGTAACTCCAAAAAACTGACAAAATAATAATTAGAATTAAACAATTAAAATATATTTGCCCACATTTCAGGGGATGATTTAAAAAAAATGATTGCTTGTGTTTTTTGGAATCTGCATATACCAGCAAAAAGTAGTTGCGATTGGAATGACAGTGGATGAAAAGGAGTTGCGATCAGAGCAGAAATGGGGGAGACAAGATGTGTAGTGTGATGAGGAGCATTGTGAAAGCAGCTGGGAGACTGAGGGGCGAGAACAAGCTTCAGTAAGCCGAATCATCTGTCTGGTGCAGCATTCTGCAAAGAACCCACACTGTACAGGGATTTCACTGGACGGATTGTCATGTGATGCCAACTTGCCCAGTGGCAAGCCAAAGGAGGCTGCACAGCAATGGGTTAGTACAGCCTGCAAGTCCTCCAATTGTGTTGAACTCTCAGAACTGCCAGTCCTACTGAGACTTGTGGTCCACCTAGCACAGTCCTGTCTCTACAGATCGGCAGTGGCTGCCCAGGGTTTCCAACCAGGATCTTTCCCAGCCATAACTGGAGGTGTCAGGGGTGGAACCTTGAACGTTCTGCATATAAAATTATAGGCCTTCCCAAAATGGAAAAAGTGTGAGGCAGCAGTGGAACCCAGGAAAGTGGCAGGTGAAAAAGGAATAAGAGGGAAGCGAGTTGTACTCTTTCTTCTTTACATTCTCCTTCCTTAAGAACGTTTCCTTCTTTATGACGTTCAGAAGTGCACCAAAGGGAGGAGGAGTGAGAGTACGTATTATCTCAGTGACTCCAAAAATAGGGCAGGCAGAGCAGACATTCCTTAGTCACAGCAAGGATTTAGTGGATAAAGGGGTACAGAGACAGGTACCCACAATGAGAAATGTTGAGTAATTCTGGATGGGTCTGCCCAGCGAGACTGCTTTTCTGTAGTCACGCAAAGACTATTTACAGTCTTGGAAAGACGGCAATGTGTAAAAACTAGGGGAGCAACTGGAGCAAATGGCTACCCTTGATGAACTCTTGTTGGCATATTTTTGGAACCCAGAGTGACCCAGCATCACATGCACATGTCAGGAAAGGTGAGAAGTGAACAGAGTTGGCTCTGTGGGGAGTCTCCCAAATGCTCTTTCCCCTCAGCTTTCCCCCCAGCTTCTGCATTGCCTTTTCCTTTGGTGCTTCAGTAGAACATGTGAATGGGGCCAGAAAAGTGTGTTGGGAAACTGGATGTTGAGAGTCAGAATCTCCACCCAGTGTAGAACTGGCCTTGGTCCTCTCCACTGTTGGCACTGGCACCCACAGTACTTTCTCAGAGCCATTTCAGCCTTCAAGCTGAAGAAGTTTCCTGCCTTCCAGCACAGAGATCTTCACAGTTTAACAAAGCCTGCATGTGACTCTCATTTCCTGAGCCAGATGACAAGGGCTGGAAATGGTGTCTGTCTGTTTCGGGGCAAAGAGATGCCATACAATGGGGCTGTTTGCCTCAATATCCATTATTATAGTGTGACTGTATATTCAGCCATTGAACCCCATATGCCTTGTCTGCATTCTTTCAAAAGAGGAACTTGTTAAAAGAAAATCTCTTTAACACATGTCTAACCATCTTCTGCTTGCAGGTCAGTTACTTCGCCTGAAAATGTTCCGAGAGGATCATGGCTCTTGGATGACGATGTTCTTCAGCACCATCCTCTTCCTCTTCATTTTTTCTCACATGTACAATCTCTGTCTTCTTATGGCAGGTGACATGAGGTAGGAAATGTTTCTTTGAACTGAACTTTCCTAATTATATCTTTCACACAGCATGACAGGTGGGTGATGATTCTATTAACAGTTAGGTAGCTTGGCCTAACGCCACAGAATGAAGCTAATTCATTCAACCATAAGGGTTCTGTGACATAAATATTAGCATAACTGGAAATTATATCTTGGCTAGAGAATATAATGTGAGTTCCTAGAGATGTCCAGTTTCTTGTCTGTCTGTATAAATATGAGCATGCCTTCATTCCAAGCAGTTAGTTTCATTTGGATAGAAAACTGGTGTGCTTTTTCATTTAATCTTGAGCATCATCCAAAATGCATTTTATGCACTGAGCCCTAATTATGGAGGAATAAACAGAAATCCTGTGATAAGATAGTCACTAGATAGGCATGGCTCACTGAAGCATGATCATGACCCAGAGCAGTCCAGATCCTGTCACAGTCACTTGGCCCATGTGTTTTCTAATTTTCTTTAATCATTTTTGCACAAGTCTGCAGGTTTGCATGTCTTCTGCTGGGAGGTAATTGATCTAGACACGGACAAGAGCAGTCTGAAGAGGGAAGTGGCAAGTCAGGGCTGGAGGGGCAGTAATTGCACCCCGCAGTCATTATTGTTGTTTTAGTTGCTAAGTTGTGCCTGACCCTTCACGATCTCATGGACAAGGTTCTTCCAGGCTCCCCTGTCCTTCAGCATCCCCCGGAGTCCACTCAAGCCCACAACCACCAACTCAGTGACCCCATCTAGCCTTCTCGACCTCTGCCGTTCCCTTCTCCTTTTGCCGTCAATCATTCCCAGTCATTACACCCATACCAAAATTTCTACTCTCCCTGCTTCCTGGGCTATCTCAGTATTGGTTACAACAAGCTACCTTTGGCTTGACAGTTTTGTCAATTGGCTTGACAATTTTGGCTTGACAAAGGTAGAAAGCCAGATGAGAACTTGGCCTGCTGCTGCTGCTAAAAAAAAATACCATCCATTCTTTGAAAGTACAGGGGTTTCACTGTACTTTGTGGAAAGCAGTATATAAATCTGATTAATAAATAAATAGAAATACATAAACTCCTATCATTCCCAGCCAGCACAGGCAGACCATGTAGCCCAGTAGTGATATCATTTGTAGTCCAACGTATTTGGAGTGCATGCCAAATCAGGGAAGAATGGTTGACTGAACAATCATGGCTGGATATAATGATGCTTGCCTCTGCTGCCAGCTTATGGCTCCCGTCGAGCTCTTCTCCATGGCTGAAGGATGCAGGGAGCTGAGAAGCCAAGGTTGAAAGGAGGTCAGCATTGTATAGTCCAGTGTTACTGGCTCTATCTGTAAATGCTTTCTGAACCAGAGCAGCTTAAATGATTAGGCAGCACCTGGACTTTTAGAGGTGTTTCTCAGTGTCCCAGCCGTGCTTCATGGACAGTGGCAAATACGGTAAGGAAATAAATACTGGAAATAAATAAGACAATTCTGTCATTTATTTGTGCTGGATCATTTTCTTCCAGGGAGAATTGTATGGCATAACAGAAGCTTGGAGTACAAGGAATAGAACATCCATCTTAGACTGAAGTGATATTCAAACTTTCCCATTATCCATATAATTTTTCCCCTTTCCCTCAGCTGTGTGTTAACATTCATTGGTACATTTCTAGAGAGATTGCCACCAGAGGGCAGCAAAAGGCTTTAAAAATAAGCAAATGGACAACAGTTTGGGGACTTCAAGACTAGCCAGGACAGTCAACATTATAAAGCTTTGAAAGGACTCCAGTGATGTTTTATTTATAAGCCGCCCCGAGGCTTTGGAGAATGGGGCGGCCTAGAAATTTTCTAAATAAATAAATAAATGTTCAGAGCTTATAACCACATGTACTTTAAAGAGTCTAATATCTAGTAATATAAGCTTATGTTGGCTTGCCCCAACGATGCTTCCATTTATAATGTTCTTTGTGGTTGCTTTCTGATTCAGCTTAAGTTTTTTGTCTCTCTTTTTAAAAGACTGTGCATATCGTAGTTAAAGTGGTAAGGTTTTGAAGAAATGGCTTCAAGGTGAGATGACTAGCTGGAAATGGCATTCCACACTATCCTTCCTCTCTTTGAGGATTGATCAGTTTTTAGACATGTTTGTTATGCAGAGACTACAGTGGAAATATTTCAGTCTCCCAGGACTGTAGTTGCCACATTCAAACAAATGAGCTTCAAAGGAAAATATGAAGCCACCAAATTGAAATTTATTACCAAGTTTGTTGTGCGAAATCCTGGGAAGTCTGGGTGACTTTAGAAAGTTCAGTTACGCTATTGATTCTGCTGTTTTATTCAGCAGCAGTAGCAAAGGGTTAGTCACAGCAGTGCTGACTAGGTCTGGTTAGTTTGGTTTGTTTCTGTATCTCTACAGAGTCATTTGATGCCTGTTTGGTCATCTTTTGCATTGGTTGACCTTTTGGTCTCTTTTCTTTTTCTTAAAAACCCTCAAAGTTTTCTCCTTCTTTCTTTTTCTGCTTGTGGTGATTTTGTAGGCTTTCTACCTTTATGAGAACCAAAGGCAGGCAGCTTGCGGGAAATAGCAATGGGGTACACCAAGTTCTAGGCCTTGCTCCTAGTTCTGCTAGCATTACTACACATGCTTCTAAATGAAGGGGTTTGTGGTTACTGAGTAAAGTTTTGGTCTAGCCTTTTCTCCAGATCTGGTACAGCAGGGCCATAGCCCAGTGAGAGAGCACATGTGTAGCATGCTGAAGGTCCCAGCTTTGATCTCTGGTGTCTCCAGGTAGTGCTAAATTAAAAAAAAAAATTGTCTGGAATCCTGGGTAGTCGCTGTCTGTCTGTATCCTCAGAACGGGGATGGGTCAACCAAGAATCTAACTTAACATGTAGGCAACTTTCTATGTTGCCTATACTTTGGATTGCAGCTCCCATCAGGCCCTGCCAACATGGCCAAGATTCAAGGATGATGGGAGCTGCAGTTCCCCAACTGCAGCACCAGACGATAAGAGCTCATCCCATAATAGCTGAGCTTTTTTTAGAGGTGTTTCCAAGGTTTTTGTTGCTGTTTCTCCAGTAGCAGTTTCATAGAAAGAAGCAATTCATCAAGGAAATTAATCTAAGGGAGAGAAAGAGTGCAGTTCAGCCAACATCAAGAAGAAAGCAGTGCTCAAGGCAGTTCATGGTCATCTGCCTCAAAGACTTGCAACAAGGTGTTGCCTGGGGTTACCATGGCAACTCTTTTGGAAAATACTTGGGTGCAGTTGACAGCTGTTCCAGTTCTTTGTTCTTTTTATTCCGGGAATGATGCAACATTTCCAATGGTTAATTTCTTTTCTGAGCAAGTGTACAGTTTCTCAAGCCCAATAGCTAATGCATGACATTCTGAAGCTCCAGTTATGCTTGCATGCAGCCAAGAATCCCTGTTTCCATTCTGCAAAGTGGGGCCAGAGAAAACAATTCCATTCAATGTCAGTGCCCAGATGAAATGAAGAGTTGATGCCACCTACTCTCGCTGCTTTATCCATTGTTGCATGCATCAGTCAAGATAAAAGCAGAGAAATCTAATTATGAGAAATTCAATCGGTTTCTTGATTTAAAACACCAACAAAAAATCACTTGCAACCTTGAGCTCTTTCAATAATATAAAATGCAAGGTTGCTGAGAGAGAAATGATGGGAAGCCATAGCTTGCTCAGATTGAATATTCAAGGCTTAAACCATTATTGTTATTTTAAACCTCTAGTGGGAGGTTTAAACCAGATATTAAAATAAAATTAACTGATTCATTCTTGAATGTGCTAATGACTCCATTATTATGAGCAGTTTCAAGCTCCATCTTGTGAATACCAATTTCTTTATTATTAAATACACTCCCAGTTGCGTAGGGGACTGCAGAGAATGAATACTATCATGCCTCCTGTTCCTTACTGGAATCTGCTTATCTGACTGGCCTTTGGCACCCATGTCTGGGTGCTTTGAAAGGGACAGTTCCTAGTGTTACTGGGTCCAAAGGCATTGGATAGTCATTCTGCACCTAACCATTTAAAAATCCCTTCAGCAACGGACTGGCTTTGCCTACCCTGAATAATAATGTCTTTGCCTATCACAGCTGACCCACACTACTGTGAAGTGACCGCATTCCCACTCTGTGATAGTTCAGCTCTCTCAGAAGTGTGAAGGGCTCAAGTGTTGCAATCTCATTGTCCAGGTGCAGCGGCATGCTTCCCTAGGCACACGCATTATGCAGAGACCTAGTCCGCATTTCCATTTGCCATCCCAGTGACCCGCTAGATATTATGCAAATCTCAGAGCATTCCTTTGTTATTCTGCAGAATCAATACTTTATCTGTGAAAGGCAAGAAAAAGAGGTCATAGAAATTGAGTGACTAAATGAATAGGAAGCATGAGCTGCAGTTGTTAGGCTGCAAGGAACGAGGAAATGTCACCTTGGCCACTGTTGGAGCTGATTGCTGCTCTGGCCTCTGACCCACTGCAGCAAGTGGAAGCAAAAACGAACAGAACAGCATTGGAGCCTATTAAAATCGAAGTACCCTTGTGGGGGAAAAAAGAACTGTATGCTCCATTTAAAAATATATGTTATCAGACTGGAGGAAGGAATGAAAGAACAATGGCATTGGCTAAATCACCATAATGCTGCTGTTATTTCTTTTGTACCACTTAAATGGGCATAAATTAGAAAAAAATTGGCAGCAGTTGGAAATAAAGTTTTAGCACCCTGGATAAGTGCTATATTGATTGATAAGTGGTGGTTTACTCAAATGAGGCTTTTAGCAATAAAAATGCTCATGAAACATTGGTACCTAATTATCTGTAGTAACAGAGAAACTACTCTTAAGTTCAGTTTACAATAGAGGGAAGATGGTTAAGGGAAGACAAACTAAGAATTTATTATCCACATCACCATGTAAAGTTGCCTGATTGTAGGGCTCATTTACATAACTTTCCATACTAAATGATGTAACTCACATGGGAATGTTAATATTTTTGTTGCTGTTGT